GCCTGTAGTCCCAGCTACTTGGGAGGCTGAGGCAAGAGAATTGCTTAAGCCCAAGAGTTTGAGGTTGCTGTGAGCTGTGACACCATGCACTCAACAAAGGGCGACATAATAAAACTGTCTCAGAAAAAAAAAAGAGAGAAAAGAAAAATAGCTATAATTTTCAGGTCAAAACGGGAAGAGTGGTATTATTTGACACGTTTGCAAATCTTTTTAATAGCTGTTGTAATTGAAGCCACTCAGAATCTCACATCTGCTATTTTCAGACTGTTGTGCTATCCCAGGGCAAAAGCCTCGGAAAAGCCACTGTGCTCCCCTGGAGGGTCTGAGAACAAGACAGAAAATAACATCTCAGTATTATTACAAATATAATGGAGACCTCATAGACTCCTGAACGTGATTTGGGGACCCCAAGACCACACTTTGCAAACTGCTGTCCTAGGAAGGCACACGATGGAGCGTCACTGCTTTCAGCTACTGAGAATATTAAGACCTAGTTAAAGTCACTCTCATATTTTCTGTACTCATTTCATTGGCACCATAATAAAAAATAACTTTTTAGAAACTGCATATCACTTGCGTCCCTTTCAGAGGTTTAGTTACTAAAATTCCCCAAAGACCTCATGCTTGAGATAAGCTGAGGTGGAAAACTTAATCCTCCAGTAGTCTCCAGGCAAATGATCTAAATGTGGGCACCTCCAGTTTTTGTTTAATTGTAAAATGAAGCATTTGGACTAATTTTTTTTTGATTTTCCTCCAAAGTGATTAATTTTTTGATCCTACGACTTTGATTCTCTAGAATTGCAGCCCACAATGCCCAGGCGGTGGATAGTCCACGGTCGGTCCAGGGTCTGCTAAAAACCAGGCCACGTGGCAGCAGGTGAGCGGCAGCCACTGCCCACTGCTCGCAGCACAGCCTGAGCTCAGCCTCCTGTCACATCAGTGGTGGCATCAGGTTCTCACCGGAGTGTGGACCCAGCTGCATGTGCAGGGGATCTAGGTTGTGTGCTCATTATGAGAGTCCACCCTGTTCGTGGAAATGTTTTCTTCCATGAAACTGGTCCCTGGTGCCAGGAAGGTTGGGGACCACTACTCGAGAATAAGCAACTGCTGAGAAAGCGAATGCTCACTTCCAAAAAGAACACGGGTAGAACTGATAAATCTTAAGAAGAATTAGTCATGCTATATTCGGAGTGGTAGTCTGATTCTCTTTTACCTATGATCATTTTTATTAAATTATAAAAGCCATATTTTTAGAGGAACACTGACAAAAAAGAATTTGGGCACAAAATAATCATGAGGGTGGAAGACCTAGAAATCTTAAGGATAATTTAATTCTACCTTCCGACTACCAATCTGTCTATATTGATATAATTCATGCTTCTCTGAAAGCAGGGCCTTGAGTGTTTTAATGTGGGGTCACTTTATCACTCCTATCTCTCTGGTTTGTGATGAGCTTATGAAAACCCAGCCTTGCAGTGAGAGGTGAGGGCTGAGCTCCTTTCGAGTTCTGTTAAAACCTCCATCCTCAAAGCACAGTCAATATATTGTCTGTACCAGCAGCTTCTTGGAAAATCTCCATTCCCATGGTGTTATGGCTATTGAATTGACTTAGAACTCAACACAGTGCAAAAAGCTCTATACCTAGAGAATAGCAGTCTGAAAATAACAGCAGTCTACTGGCAACATCAAAGCGGCTTAAGACTGTGCTTTCAGTTGGAGAAACAAGAGCCTGGTAAAAATTTTAAGGAAAGACTTAGAGAACGAGATGTCTATAGAATACTGGGAAAAAGTCCTGGGATCAAAATAGTCACACTCAGGTGTAAGGCTTTGTGCATGACTAGGAAAGCAGGGAAAGGGGGAGGTCACGGTCATGCACCTGTCTGAAGCTTACGCCCTGTGCAAACAGGTAGTAAAACATAAGACTGTCCTGTAAGCTTCCTAAAATTCGAAGACATACCTTCAAAGATAGATTCCCTTGGCAAAGGGTAGTAGGCATGTAAACAAGTATTTAAGGATTTTTTTTAATTAAATGATAGCTGTATACATTAATGTAAACATGGGGTACAGTATAGTGTTTTCATATACAATTTGAAATACTTTAATCAAGCTGGTTAACATAGACTTCACGTCATTTGCTTAATCATTGTCAAAACATTTATACTCTAGTTCTAGAAAAGTTCACTTGTACCCTTGTTAGACAGACCATATAGGTGATCTTTCCAGTCACCCTCCCACCACCCTGCTGCCCTTCTTCCCCTCCCCTTCCTCCGCCCCCTCCCCATAAGGATCTTTTTTGAATAACCACTGGCTGTTGACCAAATTATAGCGACCTAGAGGTGAACCTAAGGAAGTCAGGATTAAGATAAAAATAAGAATTTAAAAAAAAATTTACCAGAGCCTGCAGTGGCCACACAATCCAGGGAATACAAAATCTACAGAATCTACAGAATTAGTATAGGAAAAAAAAATAAACAGCAACAAGAAAACAATAGCAACTATAGCAGCAAATCGTTAGGATTAGAAAAGGATATGATGCCAGAGTTGTTACAAGGTACTATGTAAAATAACTAGTTATCAACCAAAGTTTGAAACTAAAAAGTACGTCACATACATTGCCAAAGAGGCCGCCAAAAGGAAATGTCCCCGAGGAGCCCCCAATATTGTACTT